CACAAAAGTCTTTGAATTTTTTGTATATTTTGCAAATAGATTGCAAAACAATGTGTCTGGAAGTATATTTTTAGGAAAAAAAATGGAGTACAGACCTATCTGTAAAGATACGTCAGTTTACGTGATTTGCTTCATGTTAACAGTGATAGAAGTTCTCATGAGAAAACGTCCACACCACGATTGAGTAACTGTAAGCTACTTTAAGTAAATCCCTGGAAAAAATGTTTAAGCATTCGTTTTATTAATTGTCTAGACAATAACAATGTACTTTATGAACACCAATAAAAATTTTAGCAGGAAACTCTCACTAATAAATTTGATAAAATATCTCATAAAACAAGTAGAAGTAGGTGGAGTTACACTTGGCATATTCCTAGACTTCCCCAAAGCATTTGATACTACCCACAATAAAATTTTTACTTCAAATTTGAGTCACTTATATACATAATAGACACCATTTTATCACATATACATGTACCTGTTAAAGCAATTCCTCAAGGTTAGGTATTGTGATCTATTCTATTCTATTCCTACTATATATTATAACATACTGTGAAATATTTTATTTTCACTTTCAGAAAATTAAATCCAATGAATATACCTTTTTTTCTATATTTTACATGAACTCATCAAAAATTAATGAAAATAATCATCCAGAATTCCAGCTAAAAATAAAGTATTTTACAGTATACCATTCTTATCTTTTTTTTTATTTTCATCTGTTTGCAATTGATTTTAACTTGTTGCACACTTTTCCAGAAAACAATTGTACAATGGTTACTTACACTTAACAAAGTTCAGGACTGGTGTAATGTCAACAAATTAACAATTATTAACTCATCCAAACGAACTGTATTTAGAAGTAAAAATAGAAAAATATCTGTTGAGGGCCTCTCCACATTAGCTAAGCTGTGATTAATAAAGTGAAAGCTGTGTCTTTTGTTACAATTGATTACTGAACACATCAAAACATATTCACAGGATAAAAACAACCTTTTAAAAAAATAAGATATAGATTAAGTCATTTTTTCAGGCACATTCTCACTTTATTACATGTATATACATCTTTTATTCATTTACACATTACATGTGGTCTGGGAAATCACATAATTCTCACATTTAGTTTCTACTCACACTGCTCCAAAAATTGCTGTCCATGTTTATTTAGACACTATAAATTCTTGATGTATTCAACTTACACATACTATTAAAATGAAAAGTCTGTCTGTGTGTATGACCTTTATACATAATAACCTGTCATAACCTCTCACAAATTACTCACTCACCCGCAATGATGGCACAAGACAGAAAGATAATAGTAATCTTATTTAAAGTGTCAGACCGCAATTGTCTAGAAAAACTTTTCATGAAACACTAAAATCTTTTTTTTGAACAATCATACCTAATTTACTGTGTTTGATATTTATTCATCCCAACAGTCTGGCTTAATTAATATTTTTTGATTCATGTACATTGGTCAAAAAATGCTAAAAAAGTATGTTGTGTCATTACTTTGCAGCACTTCACTCTGTATCACTCAAATATGCAGATGCACATCAATTTTGTTTTTGAACCTGTGCATGTTATATATGGTTTTGTAGTCAAAAAGTGTAATTTTCAGTGAAAAGAGAAGGTACAGTGCCATATATGGTGTTCCATCTACATGGTCCTGTAATATGCAAACTGCAGCTCATGAATATTAATAGCAATTCAAACATTTGTTTGTTCACAAGCATGCAAGTCTACAATCTAACTTAAACATTACTGTTTGTTTGCAGGGCTGTTGATATTTGGGCAGTTGGGTGTTTGTTAGCTGAGATGTTGTCAGGTGAACCATTATTTCCTGGAGATAGTGACATAGATCAACTGTATCATATCATCAAATGTTTCGGTAAGCACTATTGTTTTACCTGATCTGATCTAATCTTTTAAACTGATAAATCATATTTCTGATCACATTTTTCGTCTTTGTTTAGTGATACATTAAGTACAAAACAGAAATTTATTGTTTCACCTCTGTGCATTCATCTTTGCATCTACACATGTATCTCAGTCATGTCTCGGCCAATTACATTCAAACTTCACAGGGACATGTGCATATGCATTTGTTGACTCTCGTGTGCAAAGCACAAAAAGGTGGTCTCTGCAGTTAGTGTGTCTGTCTGTGTCTGTCTGTGTGTCTGTTCCACTGATATCTCAAGAACCATACATTGATTTTTGATGAAACTTGGTGCATAGATGCTCTGGGCCAATGCGCAGATTTGATTAGGTTTTGGTAAATATCCATGCATATTAATTACCTAATTTGCATGATAATTAGCTGATTTTTACTTGTTCCATGACTGTTCCACTGATGTCTAAAAAACCACTCATTGGATTTTGATGAAACTTGGCACATAGATGCTCCAAACTAATGTGCATATTTGATTAGTTTTGGGTAAAAATCTGTGCAATATTAATTACCTAATTTGCATAATGATTAATCAATTTGATATCACTGATATCTCAAGTAGATGTCATAGGACACTGCACAAACCTGATAGTTTTTAGTACATATTTAGTACATATTAATTTTCAGCTTTTGATATTTCTAGTTGTAATCATCACATTTCCATGACACTTGGTACATAGTTACTTAAGGACTGTGCAGACCCCTGATTAGTTTTTGTGTAAATATTTGTGCATATTAATTACCTTATTAGCATAATTAGTTAATTTTTAGCTTTTTGCCTGATATCTCAAGTACTAATCATCATATTTCAATGAGACGTGCTACATAGATCTTCTAGGACCATGCAGAGACCTGATTAGTTTTAATTGGATATTAATTACCTAATTTGCATAATGTTCCACTGATATATAAAGAACCACGAATTGGATTTTAATGAAACTTTTAAAGAAAACTATGCAGAGACCCAATTAGTTTTTTAGTCCCCATTCGGATGAAGTCCGAAAACGGGGACTTATAATTCGGTCTCCGTCCGTCCGTGCGTGCGTTCGGAGTCATATCTCAGAATCCCTTGGACCGATTCCGTTCATTCTTTGCATGTGCCCAGTACTTTATGTGGGACATATGCACATGCAGTGGTTTAGCGATTGGATTCAAAATGGCTGACTGGCAGCCATCTTGTTTTTTGAAAATGTTGTATTTTGGACATGCTTTGTCAGTTTTCATTCAAACTTGGTACATAGATTATACGTGTTAGGATACATGTCCATGACGAGTTATTTCACAATTAGATCAAAGATGGCCGACTGGCAGCGATTTTTTCCGCAATTGGATCAAAGATGGTCGACTGGCAGGCATCTTGTTTTGTTTTTTATGCAGTATCTTGAACGTGCTCTGTCAGTTTTCATTCAAATTTGGCACATACATGTACTTTATACATGTTAGGATGCATGTCCATGACAATTTGTTTCAAAATCTGGTCAAGGATGGCCGATTGACAGCCATCTGACTTTTTGGCCTTACTACTATTATAATATTTCCACAATTTATGTACCATTTTCATTCGTATTTGGCACATGCATCATACATATCAGTGTGTTTCATAATCAGATCAAAGATGGCCGAATAATGGCTGTTTTTATTTTTGGCCATATTACTACTACAGGTACACGGAACATGTGTTTTGATGTAAATAAAAAATCTGTTGTATACGCCACTTGGAACTCAAGTTTCAAGGACATGCTCGCGACAACCCCTCTGCTTTAATATGACGAGCACAAGAGAACTTTCAAAAATTTAACGGGGACTGTGTCATTTTCAATGACTTGTGGTGAATATTCATGCTTATTAATCACCTAATTAACATAATTAATTAACACTGATATCTCACTGACATTAACACTGATCATCACATTTGAATAAAATTTGGTACATAAATGCTCTAGGACAATAGACAGGCCTGATTAATTTTGGGTTAAAATTTGTTCATATTAATTCTCTAATTAGCATAATAATTCATAATTTTTTTGTTCTGTTCTGTTCATATTGGTTACCTGATTTACATAATTAGTTTTCAGCTTTTCCATCAATATCTCATGTACAAGTAATTTTGAATTAATTTTTAATGTCACTTCAGTACTCTCAGCACACGGGAGTTCTTTCTAAGCTTTCTTTGATTTCATGAACCTTATTTTAGTGCTGAAGATTTGTCAAAATCAGGCATTTCTATTATTTCAGAACTGAATTCCAGTCTTACAGTGAGCATGGTGTTGTCAGATATTTATAAAATGTACAATAGATGGCGTGGTTTTTATTATTTAAATATTACATTATCAATTTGATTAGATAAGTAAATCTTATTTTCCTTATTTCATATTTCTTTTTCTTATAACAGGTGTTCTGATACCAAAGCATCGAGAAATCTTTCATAAGAATCCGTTGTTTGTTGGCATGAGATTACCAGAAGTGCGGGAACTAGAACCGTTATCAAAGCGACTTCCTAGATCTTCTAATGAAGCATTAAGTCTTATGGACGTGAGTGTTGCATTCACATCTGTTCTTTAATGTTGTATTGCTAGCAAAATTTAATTTGAACTCTGTGACATGTTAGGTAATGTGTACTGTAAGTACAACTGCTAAAGTATTCACAAGATATCTGCCCTACAAATAGTTTAACATCACTGACAGTTTTTGTTCTTTGTGATTTGAGTTTTCAGCATCTTTGTGTCATGAAGTCACTGAATCACATGAAGGATTCTCTGTTCAATGATCAAAAATAAATTATATTACAAAATCAATATTTGATGTGAAGCATTTGTCTGAGATGTACATAAGAATAGCTTCTTGTATCACCATTAGGTTCCTTCATTTGAAATTATATGACATTCATTTAACTTATTTTATTTTAATTTATTTTTGTGTTCAAGCCAACCTTGTATAACACACATTATGTACTTAGATTAGTTGTGTTTAATGCATATTTGAAGCAGATTTTGAACAGCAATACAGGACAGGATTTACTGTACAGTGAATAAATAACTAAAAAATGCCATTGAATTTGATTGTTGGTCAAGTTTACCAAAAATAAAAAAGGCCTCCAGTTTTGCTGTCAACTCAAAACCTATGTGTTGGTGTCAGATACATTTCATTCAATTTCACCAGAACATTCAGTTATATTCACTTCATGTTCTTCATACATATGAAATGATCTGTATGTACAAGTTGGATCTGACAATTAGATCTGTTTTCAAGTTGTTTACCTTGTTGTCAGTAGAGTATGACTGTATGGCATAACTTTTTTGGCGTAAACAAAAGATGGCTTTGCATAAATAGAGCATCAGCTTCATTTTCACTGTTATTCACATAGCTTTTCTATAGCATACCCATCTCTTTCTTAGACATGTCTCAACTGATCACACACAAACTTCAAATGCATACATACCCATCTCTTTCTTAGACATGTCTCAGCTGATCACACTCAAACTTCACATGCATACATACATACCCAT